TCAAATATTAGCAGAAAGACAAGTCATTAAAAACGATGGGCTTTTTTAAAAAAAAGGTGCCTCTGTCATTTTATTTTGTTTGGGAATAACAAAATCTGCAGGAAGGTATTGGGGAAGAAGCATAACAATTGAAAAATAAAAAAATTTATGATATTTCTATATTTGTCAAACTGCCTGAAATAATGGTCTTTATTTTATTTTCTGTAGGAATCTTTTGTCTTTGAAAGCAACTGTCTCTTCCAAGTGGATGAATTTGGTTTTTTTCTGAGCTGGAAAAGTGAAGGAAAGGTATATTACAATTATGTCAGAAATGTATATTCGATATTATTGCACTTGGTTTATATTCTGGCTAGCTTTTAAGAACCTAAAATACCATGTTAGTTTATTTAGAAAACTAGCTTTCATTGTATTCTTTCAGAATTGACAGAAATGAAGTGTTCAAGAGGGAATTAACTGATATCAAAGAAAATAGACTGTTTAGTGTTTATTGACAGTATTTGCAAATAAGATTCACTGTTTATTTTTGCTGCAATTCCTAATGGAACTGTGTGTCAACAGACCTTTGAACTTGTACCTGTTTTTGTCATTTCAGGAAGGACAGGTATTAGAATGCTCCCTGATCAACAGTGTTCGCTTTGGAGCTGTACCAAAGGTACTCTAGTTAGGTTATACTCTTCATTTAAACAAAGAACATTTAAACTGAAGTTGAAATGCAGGTTGGCATTGATTTCTTCAAATAATACTAGCAACACAGTTTTTATTTTGCAATCGTGATCTAAAATTTTACATTTTGAAGTAATTTGGCGTGATTGGAGTGGGAAGGTTCAGCCATCTGGTCTTTCTGATGCAGTACAGGGTTCAGGATGTAGTGAAAGATGAACAACAAATATAAAAAGCACATATCAGGGGTTTTTAATTATTTTGGTAATAGTGTATTATGATGCTTCTTTTAGGGGTCTGGGAAAAAATGTTTCATTTTTCAAATTTTGCTCCTGTCTCTTTAAAATTCGTTTTATCTTGACATAAAACATAGAAAGTTCTGTTCACATCCCTCTTTATGCAGTTAGATGGTCAGAGAGGGCAGCCAGTCATGGCCTGCCTTTTTGAAGAGTATCAACAGAAGTACTAGCTAGGAGTTCTGGAGAAAGCCAAAACTTTGGAAATATTCTCAGTGCTGTTCTTCAGAAGAAATATGAAGGCTTTTCTGCAACGAATTGTGGCCCTCTCTCCTCCAGGCCTTTAGTTAAGAAGATTTGTTGTGAAGTGAGATACCTGCTAACACCTCTGCATTTCCACTTCTGTGCGTTAAGTGGTTTTGTATTAACTGTAGATAACTCTCTCTTAGTAATTGTCTTGGGAATCCATAGACTAAGATCTTTCCCCCATAGAGAAGGGGCATGAGAAGTGGTGGTGCAGATAACCTCATGCTTCGTGTGCTGACAGCCATACCAGTATGCTTCAGGCTTCACCTCTGCCTTTACGTAGCTAATTTGCTCTTTAAAACAATATGCCCATTAAATCTGTAGCCCTTGGCCCACAGCAGAGACACAGCTTGTATGACATGTCACTAAGAAACAGCCAAAAAGTCACAGAGATCGTAAATCTCAGGAACTAAGGGCTTAACTCAATTGGAATAATTAACTTAGATATTAATATTATTTCCAGTCTTCGGAGTGATTAATTTATCTTTTTCATGATGAAAATATATGTAATTTCTAATTTAACTTCCTAAAGTACAATAAAAATATTTCATTTACTTCTGAGTTCTCACAATCATGTTCCTAACTGTTAGAATATGTTGTTTTTCAGGTTTGCACACCGTAATTCTAAGTGAAAGTACTCTTTTAAGATAATTGGCAAAGGTTTAAAGGTGTAAATGTATATGGAGATGAAAACACATCTTTACCATAGTGCATCCTGTAACAGGAGTGCTGCAAATGTAACAAGTTATTTATTCTGTTTCACAGGATCCCAAGATACTGACTGCACTTGAGGCTGTTGGAAAATCAGAAAATGAATTGGAAGGACGGATAGTGTGTGTTTGCAGTGGCACAGATCTGGTGAACATCAGCTTCACTTTCATGGTAGCGGAAAACACAGAAATAGCCAAGGTATTTCACAATTAAACAGTGTGTGGGAGATAAAAATAAAAGAAGAGCTCGTCAGCAGTACTCAATTGTTTTTTCCAAGTCAGCCTCCTTGGCTGACTGAAATACATGGTTCAGTGTCTGCTGCCTCACTCTTCAAAAGGACAGCAAACATCCATTTGGAGCATTCTATAACAGTCTCTGTGCCATCAGGAAAAGAAACAGTGATTTTTATCAGGCTCTGTGTGCATGGTGATTTATCAAAATTAGACACTGAGACCATTAAATACAGGACAGAGCATTCCCTCAGCTGTTTACTACCTCTGTGCAGGGATTGTACAGCAGACTGTGTGATGATTATGCAGTGATCTGTAACAGGGATGCTGAAGGGAAGTGCAAACACTTTCATTTTCCTGATGGGTGGAGTTCAGCCCTCCAAAATTTTGTTCAGCGATAACCTAATTGTATTGTGTGGTTCATATTATTTGAAAAGACAAAAGCAGGAAAGAAAATTCTCTACAGTTCAGGGGATCCCAGTGTACCCAGGTTCTTTGCTGTTTCCCGTTGACATGGAAAAGTCTTAAGCAAACAGTGGTGGCTTTTTACACGTCATCTTTCCTGAGAGCTTAAGATTGCAGTTCACAATGCAAGATCTGTGGCTCCACCTGTCCTGGTACTTGAGCTGTGTGCTGTACATTCCTCTGAGAAATTTGATCCAGACTGCTGATAGTGTGCTGCTAGCTTAGGTCCAGGCATTCAGGGGATTTCAAAAATACACGTTCTTTGCCTTTCTGATTTATGTGCTTACGATGTGTCTATTTGCCTGTGAAATCAACACTGAATAGTGATCAGTAACACACCTGCTAAATCCCTTCCTTTAAAACTGTTTGCTGAATGCAGCATCACTTAATGCCTTGGCAGATCTGGTTGATTCTTCACTGCTTTGGATCCAGACGTCTTGAAGCACTGGCAGTACTGAGTGAACTTCGTGACAGGAGAAATACTTGTAATACTTACAGGGGTACACTAAATTGATTTTACTGTGTGTATTTTCAGCAGACTTTCAGGGAAATAATGTGCTACGTTTATGTTTTGAAGATGTTGAAGATGCGAAGAAAAGGATATGTTGGCAGCACTCCCAACAGTGTGTCTGATTTATTCTGAAAACAGAAAGTTGCAATTAAGTTTCTCAGCCACCTTCGATCTGAATAACCTGTGTTAGACTAATTGGTTTGTGAGGGTGTTGGCCAGTTACATAGAATGTCATAACGGATGAGCTGTCAACTGCTTCATTAACATCCAAGATACCAAAAATGGTGTGTCATGTTGCAGGTGGCTTGTGGGTAGGGTCTGAGGAGCCCATATCATAGAATCATAGAGTTTTAGGGTTTGAAATGGACCTCAGAGATCATCTAGTCCCAACCCCCTGCCTTGGGCAGGGACACCTCTCACCAGACCAATATATGTGAGAGTCTTGCATTTTGGGAGTCTTTCCACCAAAATATATATCCAGAACTGTCAGCAGTGATGATCCACCTGATCTGATCTGATATGTTTGAGGCACAAGGGAGAGGATAAAGTAGATCAAGCCAAAAAACTCAATGTAGAGCTTTCTAAGTTGCCTTTGCTGGGGGACTTGGCCTGTACTGTATTGACCTTTCCTTTTGGGTAGATACATCAATTTACTACTGTAGCTCTGTGATAAAACAAATTTTTCTAGGAGTTATCTGCATGTAGAACTGTTCTTGCTTCATTTTTCCTCTTTTGTTCATGAGGACACACCTTTTTTCTGGGACACATCTCCGCTAGAAGAACTGAGTCTTTGCATGGCGTTAAGTAGCTATGCAGCTATGAGCTGCAGTATAAAATAGGCCTTGATTTAATCTGTGTTCAAATGTAAACCTCTCTTTTTAAATGACAGAGGCAAGAGTTTGGAGAAAAAGGGGCAGTGATTGTAGCTTAAGCAGTCCAGATATGTGTAATGGGTAAAGGTGTAGTGGTTTCTGCTGTTCCTCTGCTGTTGCCATGAGGAAGGGGAGCATTACTTCCTATAGGTCTTCTGTCCCTTCATCAAATAAACCAAGGTCAGGATTGTTTGGTACCTTATTGGGATACTTTATAACAAGGGAATTGAGTGGCAGATCCAAACACAAAAGCCCAGAACCCTTCTGCCCAGAAAGGTTCTGCTTCCGTAGATAATGAAATTGGAAAAGAAGTAATTGTTACTCACTTGAAGCTGCGTTATAACGGGACTGAGTAACTATGACAAAGAAGAAAATTAATGCAATTTCCTGGCTATTCATGAAAGGAGTGGTAACACTGGGAAGCAGATTCTGACAGATCCTGTAGGACAGGATGGCGGAGTGTGGAGACAGTCCCTTAAGGTTGCCCCAGCTTTGACAGGTGGGTATGTGCAGAGCTGCTGCCTGCTGTGGGCAGTGCTGAATCCTCCCCTCCAGGCAGGGCTCATTACAGACTGGTCATGGTGATGTGTCATCATCTCTGTGCTGGGGCAGCCCCATGTTCCTCTGCCTCTTGTGCTGATCTCTCAGCAGGTCTGGACAAGACATTGCTGACCTCCAACTATAGCTATTCTCAACAACAAGAGTGTGTTTATTATCGCTCCACTTGTCTCCAAGCTCCAACTCTGGTATTTACAGTCTAACTACTTAAATTTTATTGGTGTTTTCAGCTGAGAAATTGGTTTTCATTTCCACTCTTAAAACAACCACAAAATAGAGTGTACTCTGTCTCTGATTGCAGGCAGCTGTCATGGTCCACTCCTGTAGCAGCTCCATTGTGGTAGTAGAGAGTGACTGTAAAAGGTGAAATTTAAAACCTAATGTTTAGAATCCTGATTAAATCAGGTTATATAAATGACCCTGAGCTAAAATTAAAACACACATACACACACATGCACACATACGTGTACACACACACTCACATATTAGAGGTATGAGCATATGTGTGTTGTTTTTTTTTTACTTCCCAGATGGATTTTCTATGACCTGCTAATTGGATAGTCTGTTTTCATCAATCTAGGACATTTGAAAAGGCCAGTGAGTATTTGGGGGTGAATGCCTTTAGTGCAGATGTGATGTAGTGCTGATGTTCAGCCTCAGCCCATGGCATGTAGGCTGCCTTTCCAAAGCTGACCTGAGTCTAATGAAGCTGTTGTACGTCAGTGACCCAAAATCTGGACTGCTTGCTGTCCTTGCTCATCCCATTTGGCAATGCATTAAGGAGTTTAACTTAAAAGATAAACCTAAGTGAAGTCAGCTTTTTTTACATTCTTTAACATGAGTGCATGTCGGGGTAAATTTGTCCTGACAGTTGTTCTTTCCCAGATCCAGATGTATTGTTGGGAAAGACCATCTCTCCAGCTGATAGTTTTTGCCTTTCTGCCGGGAAGTATTGTTCCCCCTGCTCTGCTGGCAGAGGACTTCATGTGAACACTCCTAATTCAATTCACAGAAGAGCCATACTGTTAAGCTCATGTCACCTGTTTAGAGGCAAAGCTCACACCAGTGTTTAGGATAATCTGGCTCTGGGAAATGCTGAGGCACACGATTATGGTAGGTAGGGATAGGAGCAGCCACAGGGGAGACAGGGTGAGGAGGATGGAGTAACATTTTACGTCAGTTGGATTTGATAGAAAATAGATGTTTTCTACAGGTGTGTTACTGAGGCAGTGAGTGACACATTGATGGCTAACCTGTGAGGCACCAGTATGAACAGCACATGCTGAAATACTTTATTAGTCATATGCTGACAAATAACAAAAAGGTAAATGCAGGCTTTATCATACAACTAATAATATTTATGGCATGGAAGATGACTGCAGTTGAAAGCATTTCATTTTGACACTCTTAAACCTCTCAGTTTTTCAGCTGGAATGGTATTTTTCATTTTTAAATTTATTTCAGTTTGTTTAAAATTGTTAGATAGATCACTGGTTTTGGTAAGATAAAACACTTCAGGCTGATCATTTTTGTTGGTGTTTCTACGATATGACTCTGTTCAATTTAGAAAAAAATTCTATTTCATAAAATCATAGAATGGCCTGGGGACCATCTAGTTCCACCCCCCCCTGCCATGGGCAGGGACACCTTTCATGAGACCAGGTTGTTTAGATCCCCATCTAGCCTGGCCTGATTGACCCTGATTTTTTTTTCCATGACATGAGCTATTAATTATTTGCCTGAATCATATTGTTAGGAGGGCAAATAGAAGGTAGCAGAAGATTCCCATGGGAATATCCCCCAAATACATTACAGAAAAGTTCTGTTTTCCCATAGCTTTGGTTTGTATTGATGTTTCAAAGCAAAACTTTCCAAGAAACCTGCAGAACATAAGCGAACAGAACTCCAGAAGCCTAGTGCTGTTTTCTGTGCCCCGTTGTGTTAGTATTTGGCTTATGACTCATAGTCCATGTGATAAAGAGTTCTAAATCATGATTGCCTTAAATATATGACCACTGCTTACATGTTCAGGTAGCCCTGTGCCAAATATGTAATTCCATGTTCTCTACAGAAGTCTTCATATCCTAGCCAGCCTTCAGTTAAGGGTCAGTGATTGCCATGTGCATTTCTGCTTTTCCATGTTCTTTACTGGCTATGCCACTGCAGAATTATCAGTAAATTGAAAACTTTAGCACTGGTTCTCCATAGCCAGGAGGGCAACTTCACTGTGTAAAGCTCCACTATGTTTGTCTTAGTTTGTATACAAAAGCAGCCAAAGTGATTTTTTCAGCCGCTTTCTGAGTAGACCCCACCAATGCTGGAAAAGTAATTCCAAGGTGGAAAGCTTCGCTGAAGTGTGGTAGCAGTCTGGACACATGGGGCAACTTCCAGTACAGAGTGTTTGTGTGAGCCTCGGCTTGCCTGATGGAATAAGTTGAAAGTCAGAAGAATCCCTTTTATCTTTGCAACAGAATTTTCACGGCAGTATGCTGTGAGTCTGTGCTGCCGTTGGTCAGGTAGGGGATGAGTTCTGCTCTGTCTCTAGTCAGGTTTCTTTGCTGTGGTTGTATGGCGTTACAGGTATGGTAATTTCCATGGAACAGAAATGAGTTCTGAGACATCTGTGTTTGAAAATAAGAGAGAAGAAGGACATCTGCTGGTCACAGCACTGCTGGCTGAGGGCGAGTGCCAAGGAGCCCTGCGAGCCCACGGCTGTCTTGGGAAGAGTTGGGAAACGTGGTTCTATTCTCCATGGGCTTCCTGAACCTTCAAGCTATCAAGGTCTTGACTCTGACAGCTGGTCACAGGCACCGAATACCAAAATCAGTGGGCAATGCCTCCTTGCCTCCCTGGCTTTCCTGATGTGTGAATTAAGTAGAGTGCAACTCTGGAGAGACTGCACTGAAAAAATGAAGGTAAAATCTCAAGAGGTCTTAATAATACTGACCTCATCAGTAAATTAGCCATGGATGACCTTGTCTAGAATTTAATGAGCTGTAGGTTACAGTGATTTTTAACCTTTCATAATTTTTGTCCTTTTTAACCCTGCCTAAATGAAAGCTTGATGGCTAAAAGAGGGCTGAAAGGCCAAAGTTACTTGTGCACTCTGACACTGCTGCCCGTGTTTTGTCAATGAACCTCAGCTAACACAGGGTCACTAAATGCCTCAGAAGCATATGAGTGCTACAGCAAAAGCTGAGAGTGCTTCTTTGAGCAATTTTTCTTGCACCTTCTCCTTCTAGAGATCTTTGACAGTGTATGTTCTTGCTAGAGAAAAACAACAGTCTGCTTATTCCAGTGTGCAGTGTAGATTTTGGCCTGTTGTGTCAGCCTGAGGGTCTGAAATTAAGGTGTACTTGTGTTTGGTTTTATTTCTTTTCATGATTGTTGTTGTAGGATTAGATGGCAGGGCCCAGATTCCTCTATGAATCTGGAATAATACTTGTATATAGAGAGCCACTCAGGAATTGTGTTGACAGATTAAAGCTACTGAAGAATATTTTGAAAACTGGAAAATATGTAGCACTAACATCAGTAGGAATCAAACATACCCTGATCTCTATGACAAACATTTTGTACTTTCTATGAGACCCAAGCGAAGTGTTTCCTATCTACCTCATTTCAGAATTTCATCTCATTATAGGATTTTCCTTCCTTGCAGAGGTAGTGATTTGAAAATGCTGAGCACGAAAGAAGAGAATTGAGGATCTTTATCCCTCTTACTTATATAGATTTCCAGGTCTTTCAGCTTGATCTGTAAAATAAGGAGTGCTGTCATAGCATATAACAAGGCTGCTGCTGTATTCTTCATAGTGTGTTAGCTGAGAAAAATCTGAGCTCTTCTTTCATCCCTCCTGCAAGGTCATCAGACAAGTGTACATTGAATCTGGAAATGGTTTGTTTTCAGGAAAGCAGTATATTGCCAGCTTGACATTCGTCAGTGCGTTCAGGCTTTGGATGTTTTGTGAATATCCATGCACTGCATCACAGTGCCTTAAAAGTGATTTTGAAGGTAGCTGTTATTTGGAGATATTCTGTCTCAGAATGACAAAGAATTTGAATGTGTTGAATGTGTTGTTGAACATGTTTGTTGCTGTATTCCTAGTTAATTTGGGGCCAGTTAATTGCTGTGGGCAGTATCTGTAGCCCCAAGCTGAAGGGCAGGCAGATGCTGCACTGTAGAGTAGCAGTGTGGTGTGGAGCAGATGGGCAAACATGTCTCTCAAATTATCATGTCTTGCCCAGGGAACATCAGACCAATGTAAAGATGGTTCATATATGGACAGAGGCTCTTATTTTGCTCCCTTGCTTGGTGCCAGCAGAGATGTGATGCTTTTGTGGCTTGTCAGTGTTTGGCTGTAGTACTGTGCTCTTTTGCTCTAAGGGAGTGCAGTTCCTGATTTGGCATCTCTATCAGGAAAGGGTATTAACACTGAAAAAAATTAGGGAGGCTCCTGAAATAGGAATCATCAAACAACTGCAAAAAAATCACTTGGCAGGTGGTTAGTGTGTTGATTTGTCTCTCTATGGGGTTTTTTTCCTAGCAGTGTTCCTTTTCCATAGCTCTTCTTGGTGTACAGAAGTCACTTCAGAACTGAGTGCTGGGTAAACTTACTCTAAATGTTAGGCTTTGTTATATCTGGTGTAGTTGTAATCCATTGCCTTCAAATCAGAATGGATCTGTAGGTGTTTATTTCCAGCTGAAATGGTGATACTGTCAGTACTGCACCAGTGACATTTTTAGCAGAAAAAAATGGGTGGAAGACTGAAACTTATTCACAACATGGGTTTTGTGTGATTTAATTTTGTAAGGCATTTTTGTTTGTGGTGCATATGCCATTGTACTGTATTGGGTCAGTGTTGAAAGGTTGAGGATTTTGAAAGGAACTATAGACTAATCCAGGTCATAGGAGGATAAATGTTTGTATAGCTGTGATGGTGTTAGTACA